TAGGCAATTTATTGTAAAATAATGAAATATAAGTTAAGAAACAGATTTTCTAGTACTATATAAGTAAAATTATCGCCACCAGAGTGCAGCATTTGATTGATACTCACCGAGCACCCTCTATATATCTCGAAAATAGTTCGATATCTCGACGGTTTACAATCTTCTGTAAAAATTATTTTAAAATACATTAATAATTGCTTATACAAAATATACATTTCATTCTTTATTAGATATAATAAATCTACATGAATTAATTACATTAAAAGTGTTTTTACCCTTAAATTTTTATCCTTCAATGATAATGTATACCTTTCTTTCAGTATTTATAATTAAGCTATTTTATATAATCATCAGTAAAATATTAACAAAGATTGACTACTCTCTAGATAAAGTCATATAATCAACAAATAGATTTAAGGAGAGGTAATTAAAGGAAACGGTCGATAGTCGGTAACATCGCAGTAGAGCATGCATCGGGGGTTTACAAGTTAATGAAAAACTATAATACGAAAGAATTATGCGAAAAAAATATTAGGCATCTTCTTGGCGTCTTATTTGACAATAAATGGCATTTTCTTTAATTAATTAAAAAATATTTTTTTATTTCCAGATAAAAAAATAAAAATTATATAGATATAAGAACGTATAGATTTATCACACATCTTATTACTAGATCAACTTAGAAATTACCAGAAACATAATTATATTTCCAAAACGCTTATAAAGTAAAAAATTGAAAAAAATGTGCTACGTTACCGAGCACATGTACCGACTGCATCTGTCATAGATTGATATTGTCTCACGATAATTAGCTTTTCAATCAGAATCAAATGCGATTGGTTATGCGTAAATTAACGCTATGTAACATTTAATTAACAATTTATAAAAATTATAAATATTGTACATTTCGGCTCTACACTTTCAGCCATTATTCGCAACGTATATAATGACAGAAAAATTATATAATCTCACTATGCTCTGCGACCAGCGCAAGGTTGAGTATTTAAAAATAAAATGTACAAAGATAGTGTAATTTTCAAGAAAAAATGTCAGAAAAATTCTGTCAATATTCATAGTTGCTTCGATGAGTTGTTTAGTTTCAGAACAGTAATTTTTTTTACAACAAAACCTCACAGAAAGCTGTTTTAGAAACTCTGGCTAGAAAAAGTATCACGGGAGATCCACTTCTAAAAGAATTCTTGGAAAAGACATGCGGTGTTGCGAGAAAAAATACCACAAATCTTCTGACGATGTTATTAATGTAGCTTTCGCAATATTTCGTCGAACAATTATTCTAAGCAAAAAAATGACCCATTGCTCAAATTAGAAAAGTCAATAAATTATGAAAAAGAAGAGGAAGATAAAACTGTTCGAAAATAACAATAACTTCCGCAAATTTGGAGATATCGATCTATTTCTAATTTTATTATATTTTTCAATCTTTTCTACTCCTATTTCATATACAATTCTTATATAATTTTATATATAATTCTTTTAAATTCGGTTAATTAGACTTAGCTTTATATGCGATCAAAATTATGGACCTTTGATCGCGTATAAAGCTGGGTCTAATCAAATAAATCTTAAAAAATTATATATGAAATAGGGGTAAAAAAGACTAAAAAATATAATAAAATTAGAAATAGATCGATATGCTCCAAAGAGCAAAAACATTTCCACAAACATTTCTAAAAAAATTCAAATTTTTTTTAAAAAGAACTCCTTTACCGATCATCGCCAAATTCAATACCAACCTTTCTTGAATGATACTCTATCGATTAAAAAAAAAAAAAAAAAAAAAAAACATCCTGATATCTCAAAAATTACGAAAGTTAGAGCATATACGGACAACAAAAGCATACATACATACACACATACATACATACATACACACGGACATTTTTTTTTTAGGCGATATTTCGACGTTTCACAACAATCTGAACATATTGGCAGAAAAAACTCAAAAACCAATCTTTTCGTTGGTTTCTTCTACCCCATATATCATATATAATTTTTTAAAATTTGGTTGACCCAACTTTATACGCAATCGAAGGTTCATATACGAAATTCACGAAAACAAAGCTTCTTCTATGAGGAAGCAAAATTATTAATAAATATGATCAAATATTTTATTTTTATTAGACATCAACTTCTTTTACACATCAACCTAATTTAACAAATAATTTTTACAGAGTAATTATGTGGGTATAAAAGTATAAAAAGTAAACATAAGTAAAAAGTAAATTGATTTGTCCTAAAATAGTAAACAAAAACTATTCAAACTATCAGTCTTCGTATAGACTGTGCTATAGACATTATAAGCGATCAATTGGTTAATCAATTGATTAAGGGGGGATTATCTTTTTTTTCCGCTAAATTTATCGCTTTTTTCTAATTTTCTGGTGAAGAAACTACCTATACAACGGATCAATGCGAAATTTGGCATGTGGATTTATTTATCTCTTATCTATTTACAAAAAAATTAAAAATTATTTCCTCCCAAAAATACGCCTCCCACCCCCTCGACGCGCGATGATCCCCAGTTGACGGTGTGCACGATTTGAGTTTTCTTATTAATCCTGCAATAAAAACCCAAGAACATTTTACTTTACACACATGTAGCTATCGTTTTACGAAGCAAAAAAAAAAAATTGAGGATTCGGTGATGTTTTGAACTCAAAATATCGATTTATCAAAAAAAACAGATCAATTTTTTTGTTATAAACAAAAAAATATTCAACGTATTGCTTTTTTTCGTTTCGTTTTTTTCTTCGTTTTCGCTTCGCGGCGAACTGAAAAATACGATGCACTTGAAATTGAATATTACGATATGCGTAATATCTTTCTTTACAACAATTGTCTTTTAAAATTGCAAAGCGCGAATGAAAACAAGAATTTATATATGAATTCAATTTCAAAAGACAATTGTTGTAAAGAAAGATTACGCATATCGTAATATTCAATTTCAAGTTCATCGTATTTTTCAGGTCGCCGCAATTAAAATCCAAAGTCGTATTGTATTTCCAATGCTTTGTTTGCAACAAATAAATTCATATACAAATGTTCTCATTTTTAATCAAAAATATGTATTATTACCTTGTGTATTCCAAAAAATCTTAAACGGGTTTTTAATATTCAATGTTATGTGTATTAAATTTCATATCAGCTAGTGATTAAAATTCATGTTTGTGTATGAATTTAGCTATATAAATGCAAGCATTTTTATTTTAGATACCCAGTTTGTAAATTTCATTTACCGTGGTATCGTAAATGTGTTGTAAATTTCATATCTTTTTTAACAGTGTAAGATTGATATACTAATTCAATACATAACACACATCATACATACCCATACTTAATGCAATTTTTGTATTTTAATATTTATACATACATTATATTATACATTTATACATCAGTATACATTTTAATTAAATGAAAAAGAGATAGCGACATTGATTACTCCAAATACATTTTATATTTCACGAAATGCCTGCACTTGAAACGAAATACCTCATCATTTAATGCACGTATTAAATACATAATCGCAACTTATTCATATAGAAGAATTGAGACAATGCGATATAGCAATCCTTTCAATCACAAATAATCCATTTCTAAATAAATTTTTGGAAGAGACATGTAGTTGCGAAAAAAATACCAAGAATTTACTGATAATGTTATTAATATAGCTTTTGCAATATTTCGCCGAACTATTCCAAGCAAAAAATGTCACCATCGCATTAAAAAAGTCAAATTATGAAAAAGATAAGAAAGATAAAACTGTTTGAAAATAACAATATTATAAATAAATATATTCAAATATTTTGTTTTTATTAGACATTAACTTCTTTTACAACCTAATTTGCCACATAATTTTTACAAAATAAATTTGTAAGTATAAAAAATTAAAAAGTAAGCGTAAGCAAAAAGTAAATTGATATATGTCCTAAACACTAGTAAACAAAAAACTATTCAAATTATTAGCTATAATTCATTTTTATACGTATAGACGGATACATGCGGATATCTTTCCTTCCATTGATTAACCAATGCATTGTTTACATCACAGCGTATGAAATAAAACTCTTGCAGTTTAAGACATTGTTCGAAAATAACAAAATGATTAAGTGTACGAAGTTCCGTATTCCAAAAATATAACTTTTTCAAGTTTCTGCACTGCGCTAGTAATTCCAATCTGCGATTAGTGAGGTAAGAATGAAACAAATAAATTTCTTGCAAATTTTGATTAGACGAAAGTGATTTAAATAAGCTATCATAAGTAACTAAATGATAGAAGGATCTGTAACAAAAATTATATAATTATCACAACACTTTAATTGCAAAGAGAAAATTCATGCACCTTTTTCAACATGCTCGCAAGAGAAGCAGACAAATTTCAATAAAGAATACAATAATATGTATTTTAAAAAAATATATAGCACACACACTTACAGATAAAGGTGCACTTTCCGTAAATTCTTACAGTTAGTGAGGGCACTAATACCCTGAGGTGTAAGATAACGTGCAGAATTTATTACTTCCAAATCACGACACAAATTTCCCAAATCTATTGGAACTGCGTCTGATAAAATACGCGTTGAGTACCAATGTAACTCACGCATCCGTTGATTTCTTTGCAGTATTTTGCTGAGACGTTCAGTTCTTATATCCGTATGACAAAGTTTTAAACACTCCAAACCATTTAACCTCTCAAGATACGAAAATCCTTCGTCGTCTACGAGACGACAATAATTTAGGTCCAATTCTAAAAAAAAAAAAACATGTTTTGGATATATGCAATTTACCCGTAATCTTGACAATCATACATATACAATATACATACATACCTTTCAAATTTTTGCATATCTCTGAAATTTTAAGTAGAGTACAACTGTTAACAGATTTGCTGCATTTACTTAATCTTAAGTGCGTTAAACGCATTCCGCAATTATCAAGAAAGTTTACAAAATCCTCAACATGAAAGATGCTTTCTGTAAGATCTAACTGTCGCAAATATTTACATCTTGATGAAAAGTAACAAAATATATCGCGCATACGTTTGTCCGATACAACGATACGTATGCTCAAACGTGTATAGAGTTCACGGTCCCGTATTAAATTATTGAAGCGCTTATTTACATAACTCATGCGGAATAACGACATGAATTCCAAGTTTTTTAATATCATTAGTAGTACTTCATCCTACAAAGATAAAATATAAAACTTCAGTACACGAGATGACATTGCAATAAATATTATGATGAGAAATAGACTTCTTGGAATACTTTACAGGGAGCGCAGACAAACTGAAAAGTGATAGCTCCTTGGATTCATCCGAAGAGAGTTTCAAAACCTTGTCATAATTTGAATGACTTTTTAATAAATTATGACGCGAGTTTTTCTTTCTATTAGGTTGCAGATAAGCAGGATGTACCTTCTGAGGTACTTCTTTGTGCCTCATATTATTCTTATAAGAAGTCTTCCTTCGTTTATCGCTGCAAACAACATTAAAACAAATTAATATTTATTATTAAAAAAATAAAAAATATTAAAAAAATAATTATTATCTTCGATTATAATACCTTTTACAAATAACGCAATATTCTGAGAAATTTTCTTGCAGATGAACTATATCCAAGTGTGCACTTTTTAAATCTGCCGTTAAATTATAAACATCGTCATGGCATGGAGAGTACATGGAGTTAATTCTCTTTAACACATTTGTTAAATTCTCATTAGCATTTCTAGAAAGAATCAATTCTGATGTACCAATAAGCATCACAGCATCTATCTTTGTGTAAGTTTTAGGCGAACTCTTCTTAAATACTAGTTTGAGCATTTTGGTTTTAAAGTTACACGGAAGCGACAACGGTGGAGAAAATAATCTTGATGTCGGGGGTACAATCTGAGACGATTCATCCCACAATATAAACCATCTGCCTCTATAAGAATCTCTAGCCCAAATTTGCATTACGCTTCCAGGATTATATATTTCGTAAATACAGACTCTGATTGGATATACAGCTTCATGAAATTCGATATCTTCAAAATAGAAAATATAATTATACATTCTTCTCAACAAAAGCGTATCTTCTTTAAGGGGATCTTAAAGCCATGTGTAATACCTACACTTGTTTTAACCTCAACTTGCGAAAACATTCGCTTTATATAAAAATTCTACAATGTATTGTTACAAAAAGACTGTGGCGTGCCCAGCGGATTACATCCAAAAATACGATACCGTTGTCAGAATTAAAGGTTTAGATTCTAAACAAAAAAGTTATTTGTGAAAAAGCATTATTGCAAGTGTACGTTTGCAATAATGCTTTTTCACAGATAATTTTTTTGTTTAGAGTCTAAACCTAATTCTGACAACGGTATCGTATTTTTGTATGTAATCCGCTAGGCACGCCACAGTCTTTTTGTAACAATACATTGTAGAATTTTTATATAAAGCGAATGTTTTCGCAAGTTGAGGTTAAAACAAGTGTCGGTATTACAGACGGCTTTAGGATCCCCTTAACAATATCTTATTTGTTAATTCAAATATTACATACTAATATACCCAGTTTCAAGGAACGCTTGCTCCCAAGCTACAAAATGAAATTCAGCATTTGACATGTCTTGCCACGGAGATATTGAGATATCTGTAATATGACCCTGTAATGAAAAGACGAAAAGTGTTAAATACTACAAACTCTTGAAAGTTTAAATTCCAATTACTTTTTACGGACAATAATGTATAATTCCAGGAAATATACATACCAACATTTTTTCAGAAAAAAATGGTAAATGCAATAGTTGTCCATAGTTTGGAAATTTAGGTGGCCCAATTATGTCAGGGGCAGTGTGATATATGCTAAGACTATGGTATATCTTGGGAACAAATCTATTCTTCACAAATTGATAGATGAAGTCAACACTATCCTCTTCTTCTACGGATAGTCTGCCGACATAGGGATATCGACTACAACTCTCGCTATATAAAGGTTGATAATGGGAAGTCATACTTTCTCTCTGAAAGAAGACAAATAAAATGCAGAATAATAATCCTTGCTTTTGTAGTATATGCTAAAATGCATTGTAATATCATGGAAATTATAATTAAAGCGGTAAGATTATATAGTTAGATTAAATTATATAATCTAAATTTATGCATTCACCTGTTTGCATTCACATGGCTAGTACTGATATTATTATTGCATGGTCTGCATGTATATTATTATTAAATATTAAATAATTGATTATTCTAAAGAAAAAATTACAGTTTTATAATATAGGAAAATGTTTTTTTTATAAATCTGAAATATCGCGAGCTCTGTGTTCTTCTACCACCACGCGTGGTACACGTGCACAAGCACAAAGAAAAAGACAAAAAAATTACAAAATTTAGTAGATGTAAAACGTAAGCACTGTAGGCAGTAAGCTATTGACTAATATAGTATATTGTGCACCAAGGAGCGAAAGTAGCGTTTTTCAGACTCGTGTGATTTGCCGCCCTCGCCTTCGACTCGGGCGGCAAACTTCACACTCGTCTGAAAAACGCTACTTTTGCCCCTTGGTGCACACGATATTTTTCACAATATCTTTACGGAAAGTTCGACCTCCATGCCTAGAGAAAGGCGAGAGTGGCCATTTCACGCCAGGACGGCATAGCGGGACGAAAGTATAACCACTTTTCTCCCTATAGGGCGGAAAGTGATCACTTTCGTCCCGCTAATGCCGTCCTGGCGTGAAATTGGTCACTTTCGCCCCTCTCTACAGGCATGGAAAGTCGAACTTTTCGTGGAGGTGTTGTGAAAAAATTTTTACAATCCAGGAATAATTGAATGTAGTTGGTCAGATTTTACTGTTTACGTCTTACCGCATACTCTTACGTCTATTGTAGAACTTAAGATTTTCCGAAATGTATTATTTATCTTACTTAGAATAAAATGTATTTTTTATTTCATTTTCCGATATACGTTGTAGTGTGTTTCACCACGTTGGAGAAGAACATACGGCATACACGTGCTTATTACACGAGCACCAAAGGAAAAAGATTGCAAAATTTATATTGCTTATCGTCTCTACACTGCTTACGCTTCTAAGTGATTAACATTTTTAAAAATGTATTTTTTCACTTATTTAATATCTTTTATCTCATTGTTTGATACAGTGATCTAACAATCGAACAAAGGATTTTACAGTGAATAAAGAGAATTACCGAAAATTTAACTCGAAACTGAATCAAAAAATTAATCAAAATGACTAATTTCTATCGATTTTCATACTTACTGTTTATCCGCAAGACAGATTTAATTTTTTGTTGTATAAAATAAAAAAATCACGAGAATGGTGAAATGTCGGAACACGTGGTCAGTGAGTCTACACTTCTGTGCGGGTCCACAATCCACGTCTGCATTATATGCAAGACTGATGCACACTCCCATAAAATACATGGTCCCGATGAACCTGAAATGTGTTAGATCCAAACCCAAGGATTCAGGTATATAACTGGAGAGCAAAAGAAAGCTAGCTAGAGGGTAAGGGTATGGATGGACGCAAGCAGGTAAATACATATAGCGTTTTCTGGGGAAAACTACCTAGAAGCATATAACGTTAAAATGCATTGTTCCGGCATGACATCCCGCTGAGACCGCCCGGCCGACCATCCGCAGGGCGAAGAACGGGCACGGTGTGTCCACTTTATTTTTTAACGCTTAGCATGCAATGTTAGAAAGTCCACGAACGGACTTACCGCGACAACCGTCTCAAATCGCCGAGCGGTGCCGAAGGCGATCGAAGATCGCCGAACGCAAGCGCGTCGTCGAGACGCCGTAATTTTCGACCGTTCCGCCGCACCGCACCGACGCTCGCGCTTGCCGTAACTACCTCCGCCACTGTGTTACGCCCCGGGGATTACAAAGATCTCAAATAAACCTGAGTTCCTTTTTATAAACGAGTGTTCTTTCTCTTACGCGAGTCCGGGAGTGCGCGGCGCGAACGCGAGTGTTTTGTGATCGGGGAGTGCGGCGCAACAATATTTTTTAGGTAGTTTTCCCCGGAAAACACTATATGTATTTATCTGCTTGCGTCCATCCATACCTCTACCCTCTAGCTAGCTTTCTTTTGGTTTCCAGTTATATACCTGAATCCCTAGGTTTGGATCTAACACATTTCAGGTTCATCGGGACCATGTATTTCATGGGAGTTGCAATGGCATCAGTCTTGTATATAATAAAGATGTGGATTGTGGTCCCGCACAGAAGTGTAGACTCACTAATTACATATGTTCCGACATTTCACAATTCACTCGTGATTTTTTTATTTTATACAACAAAGAAATCTGTCTTGCTGATAAACAGTAAGTATGAAAATCGATAGAAATTATAGTTATTCTGATTAATTTTTGATTCAGTTCCAAGTTAAATTTTCGGTAGGGGAGACCGGGGCTGATTGTGACACTTTTTCTATAAAGTGTCTCAACTCTTTGATTATGTTGTTCTTATAAATGAATCTAGGCTTGCTAGATTCAGTAACTAATCGGGATTTAAATTTAATAATAATTTTATTTAACCGCTCATTAGAAATTATATAAATTAAAAAATTCTGAAAAAAGAGACATGTAACTTTTTATCCCACACCAGGGGCTGGTTGTTACACCACACGGGGTAAATTGTTTTAATTTTAAGATTAAATATTAAAACACAAATATTTGTAAAATTTATAAAAATAAGGTTTATTGTAAACAGAAGAAATTAGAGAGTATATACCACAACATACACATTTCTGCTTATTTAGATAACAAGTGCTAGACCAATAGACAAACCTGCGTTTTTGACGGCTGCTTGTCCGGGCTCCTCTCACAAGAACACCAGCGCCACTAGCTCGCGCGGTATGTCTTCCGACACTGGCGTGATCATTTATCTCTTTCTAACGTTACTATAGCGTTTTCGGTTTAGCTACCGTTGGCACTGTAACAACCTACCCGTGTAACAACCAGCCCCAGTCTCCCCTAATTCTCGTTATTCACTGTAAAATCCTATGTTCTTTTGTCTATTAAATGTCTATTAAATGTCTATTAAAAATGTATTTTTTCACTTATTTAATATATCTTTTATCTCATTGTTTGATACAGTAATCTAACAATCGAACAGAGGATACAGTGAATAAAGAGAATTACTGAAAATTTAACTCGGAATTGAATCAAAAAATTAATCAGAATAACTAATTTCTATCGATTTTTATACTTACTGTTTATCAGCAAAGCCAGATTTAATGAAAAAATCATGAGAGAGATGAAATGTTGGAACACGTGGTTAGTGAGCGCACACCACTTCTGTGTAGGTCCAAATCTACATTATATGTACATATGTTATATCTACATTATATCCCAGACTGCCAACTTTTACAAAATACATACATAGATTTGAAAAGTATTACGTCCGAATCCTAGGATTCAGGTAAATTACTGGAAACTAAGGAAAGACTAGCTAGAGGGTAAAGATATGGAAGGACGCAAGCAGATAGGTATACATAGCGTTTTCTACCGGGAAAACTTATACCCAGACAACACATAACGCTAAAAGATAACGAAAACGATGTCTTTCAATATCTTAATATCTCGATTAAAAAAGTAAAAACTGTTTTATTTAGTTTTATTGTGCTTGCAAAATTATCCGCTCATAGCCCGTTTAGTATAGTCACTGGCTGCGTTCAGCAGAGAAAACTGCTTTGCAAATGTTGTAGAAATCTGATTGATGTATGCTTTTAATTTTTACGGCAGCTAAAAATATTTACCTACCAATTAAATTAACGAAATTTGCAACAGTTCCAAAGCAGCGTTCTCTGCTGAAC